TACAAACATTTTGAATAAAGATCTCAATACCATTATCAAACAATTTAAAAAGTTGTATCTCAAGGCCATGTATTAAATAGCTCTCATTAAATGGCTCTCTTCAAATATACTTTTCAACACACACAGAACTTAATTTAAGTGAATTATTATAAAAACCATGATGTTTGTCAAAACTCCAATAAAACAGACCAAAGTAAAAGTTAGAAATAACATGTAATAGGGCACAACAAAGTAAAGAAACAAACACTATTGTTTTTGTCTAAAAATGTGTTCCTCTGTGTACAATGTTTAGGTCCTAAAACTTCAAATTTCTAAATACTTAAATTTTATTTGATGAATAATTAGGCGTCTTCTAGGAATACTGTGCTGCATACAGGACAGGCCCTGCCAACTCACTAACTTCATAAAAAAGGTCCCTGCTTATCTCACAGATCAGTCAGGAGGATCAAGGTAAGGAAACCAGAAGCAAATGCCAAGAGAGCGCAGTAAAATGTACCTGACAATGCATCTCCATGAAGAGCCATCTTGATCGTCTTGTTCTTCTATGTACATTCTGACATTGTGATCTTGATCCAACTGGTACCAGTACATGAGGCCGTCCTTGTCTCGCCCAATCGGCTGGAGACGCATAGTATCAGCATCCTCCTCATTAATAATATTCTTGAATTTAAGATTGTCATCAAATTGACACTCGCAGAGATACTGAAAAATAATTACAAAATACAAATATTTCTCCATCACAATAAATGGCAAACTACAGAGCTGATTCAGGGACAAAACAAGAATACACACATTTTATCCATCTTTTTCCCTGAGTGTAGAATATGTGTAAAATAATTGAATTAACGAGTCAGGTTTGATGACACATACCCTGCAATCCAGCACGCAGGAGGCTGAGGTAGAAGAATTGGGAGTTCGAGGTCAACCCTAGCTATATAATGAGTCAAGGCCAACCTGAACTACTACACAGTGAGACCCTGTCTTTAAAGCTTAGGCTAGTAAAAAGTACTTATGTTCATAGTGTACATTATGTTTTATAAACACAAACCTTGTGCTAATAAACTTGCCTGTTACCTTACATACATTTTTTATGGTGAGAAAACTTAAAATCCACTCTATCAGTTTTCTTTTTTGTATTTAGCACAGGGTCTACAGGGTCTCACTATGTAGTTCAGACTCGTAGTGATTCTCCTGTTTTCAGTCTCTCAAGTGCTGGGATTACAGATGTGCACCACCATGCCCAGTCTCAACTGCCATCACAATGCGCCCCAGGGGCGAGGCCAGCACAGCACACCTGGGATCTAACCCGGCCGCTGTGCTCTGCCTGAGCAGGCACTTCAGTCTGATGAGCTATCTGGCCAGCCCTCTGTGAGTTTTTAAATATAAAATACATTGTTAACAGTTACTACCCTGTACATTAGAACCCCTGAATTAATTTCTATAAATGAATTCTTAAAAGTCTAATATCTCTTCAATATTCTTATTTTCCTCAAACCAATAGTAACCACCATTCTACTTCTGTTGCTGTGAGTTTTCATCGTTTGAGTTTCTTCATGTGAGAACATGGCATTGTTGTATCTGGCTTAGTTCACTTGACACGATGTCCTCCAGGTTTACACACATTGTCATAGTGATAGGGTCTCCTTCTTTTAAAGCTGACTAGCATTCCATTTTGTCTATATTCCACATTTTGTCTTTCTACTCATCAGGTGTTATGGTTTGTGTCTCGTTGTCCCCACAAAGCCTCATGTAGTCACGGGGTGAGTGAGGACTTCTAGAGTTTGCGTCAACTCATGATCCACTGGGATTATGTGTGATCCAAGGCTGGGATTATGGGTCTTAGTACTGCTGGGATTACCCATAGGTGGGTAAGTACTGGGAAGTACCCATAGGTGTGAGTACTTCCCCTACCCTGGGGCAGGTAA